GAAAACACTTTGTTGTAGCTAACCCTGGTCTAGACTCTAGACTATTCTCCTGGCATGTGTTGACACTGCGCCAATGAAGACGGCCTATCGATCAAAAGTACCATGGAAGCTATTGTCTCCAACCTCTCCGATTCCTGTCGCTGCCCCGACTACCGTAAGGGCACCCGAAATCCAGGACGCATACAATGTAGGCCCGCACGATTTAGGCTGCAGCCTAAATCAATCTAGAACACCTGTCCTGACAAAAGGACCACACGGGTGAAGTTCCCCTGAAGCCAAGGAAAATCCAAATCCACAACATGACGGCCCCCGTCTTCGTAGCATTGGCCGAGAAGATGGCTTTCCAGTTGCCATTCCTAGCTTTCTCAGAACTTAGAACCGATACTTTCAGCACTCACAACTGGCACTTTGTGCTCGACACGGCTGACCAGAGCAGCGGTTGGGGTTTGGGGTTTAGGGCCTATAGCGTTCATATAAGGTCCAGGGTCGGGTATAGGTTTTCTCGAGCCCTTCGTGTCGATTGCTGCCTAGGGCCTAGGGTCGGTGTGGCACAGGTGCTAGAAATTCTGAGGGCCGCGCTGCTTGCACCAATAGATTTATATTCACCCGCGGACTCACTCGCTCTGTCAGGTGTGCAGGCTTAGACACACATAAAGACAGGCTACCACACAAAGAGTGCGCTCTAGCGGCAGCTACAGATTGGACAAGTTGTAAACTTCTTGCAGGCATTGCATGTCATGGCTCTTTGCATAGATCAGCATGATTTTCCCAAACAAGGGAGAAACTCCGACGGCTAGGTAGTACCTAGCTGTATGTAGCCTCAAAAGGATTAACCATTCCATGAGCCGGAAGTGAAGAGTCTCGTGATCTTCAGAACAGCAAATCCATCATCTGTGTGCCAGGCTCATCTTCCTCGATGCTCGACACAATGACGTCCTGCGCTTGAGCATGGTAGCTGACAATACTTGTCACAAGCCTTGGATGCCCTGGACATCGAAATCCCGTAGGTTCTTTGGGTGCTTGCTACGGCTTCCGATGCTGACCTCAACTCTAGTTAAACTCCAAGCAAAGCTACAACCCGAAGATTTTGGCTCCCCAAGACTGAAGATGTTGGGGGGAGGGGGTGCTTTGGATACATTGGACCATTTGGTAGTTCGACATCTTATGAGCCTCATCACACTGATCATTAAACAAGCCTGAAGCAAGAAACTCATATTAAGCCATCACCACAAGCCCTGCATTAAAAGCCCGAAAGAAGAAAGTACGACCAAACGCCTCAAAAAGAGCAGCGAAGCGGCAAATTCCATACCAGGGTCCTCGGGGTCTACACCCATGGCCTCGGTAGCTGAGACAGAGCCCCGGTCGGTCGCACAGCGGGCAGTCAGCAATCTGAAATCCTTTGCTTGTCGCGAGGTCGCACACGACGATGCACCACTTGTACACGGACACAAACGCTGGATACCGAAACCCTATAACTGCGTATGGCCTACATTCCAAGAGCCGGACGATGGCCAACTCTTCCGCCAAGCTGTCCTGTGGCAATTCAGGACTGGCCCTGTACCAACTCGATAATTTGCCAAAACTTAAGCAAAAACCGTGAGTACTGACAGTCATGAGTCAGAACAGCACTAACAAGAGTACCTAACACGGGCCTAAGGCTTAAGATGCAAATGACGGCGAGGGCTTAGGATTCTGCAAGGACCTTAGTGCTGCCTGATGTTGTTCGCTAGTGAGAGCTGTTGACAGCAGGGGAAGGAGCCGCAGCAGCAACAGCACAACAGCATGTAACATGTAGTGTGTAGAAGCGGGAGCATCAGCAGCTACAGCCCTAGATGCCTTCGCCCTCCATGCTCTCAGCGCAGTCTGAAGCCTGGGCCTGCGTATGTGTTGAAATCCCCCAAAAAACGTCCAAAACACCGACAGGTCTCAGACCCCAACAGCCGAGACGTGGCAAATCATTCTCGGCATTGTTTCGGAAAGCATCGCCATACACTACCAATTCCTCCATCAGCTCGCAAGTTTAAGGGTGCCTGGAGCTTGGCTATGTAGCGCTGCTGCCGCGAGGGGTCATGCGTGTCAATGACGGGCACCACTTCCTCCAACGTCCTGAAGGCGCGTGAATTCGTGCGGTGGAGGAAAGGGGAGGTTTGAGAACGGACCGACCAACTTACGGAGTTTGTCAGTTCGCATCAGGGACAGTTAGTGCGCCTCCTTGGCACCAGAGCTTCGGCCCTTACCGTAAGTCTTACGGTGGTTAGTTGACCAATGCTGTCCAGCTCGAGGATGAGAAGTGCAGGTCTGTAGGTGTTGTAGATTCCAAGTTGGATACCGGAGGCCGCCAACGCTGGACCAAGTTTGCTGCAACTAAAACCCTGCATCACTGGAGTAGAATCTGTCTGGGACCGCCTTCGCTTCTGTCGGCTCTTGACAAGGTCAACACAAGGGAGCCTACAAATCCTGAGAAGTCGAATTGTCTAATCGAATAAGTATAAGTCTTAAGACCCCACGGAACGCTTCACCCGAGATATCGGAGCCTGAATCACCTAATGCCGAAGCCCTAGCTGGATGCAGCACTACAACGATCCACGGCCTTGCAAGTAGGGACAACAGTGGAAGCCGCCCCGAACCCTATAGACCTGCACCGGACATGTCATGGCCGAGCCCGGGGCGGAGCCCAGTTCGCCAAGGAAGAGGCATGGCGAACCTACATTGTGGCGGACTTGGGCTTCAGTGTGGGGGGTTTGCTATTGGGTGCTGTTGGTATAACTTGTTGCGTCTTTGGGAACCTCCCACTCTCCTACTTCAGGTGCCATGTCTAGGAAGTTTCGGACCACTTTTTAGCATGGCGATTCGTCTCATCTCAGCCCCGGGAGCGCGAGCGGGAGGGGCGGCTCTTGTCGGACTTCTCGGGTTCACGAGCACGGCTCTGTACCAGCCAGCCTGGGGCAGGGGGTAACTTGCCACTCTCCTCCAAGCACTCGAGCATCCGATTTAGAAGACCTGAGGGGTGTTTGGCGGTGCCGATGCGCTCCTCCATATCCTTGAGATCCTGGCTCTTGTGCTGCTTGCGCTTCTTCATCACGGTGATCAGGCGTAGGAGCAACCGGTCATCTAGGTTGTACTTCCAGGCAAAGTCCTTAATCTCCGGGTCAAGCAAGTCCTTGCCAACGAAGGTGCCGTTGCTGATCTCGCGAATCTTCACGAGCATTACGTCCACGGCCTTCTTGTTGTTCTTAACCCCCCTCTCCATGATGTGCCAAAGGGCCTGCATATCCTCATCGAAGTCTTCGCGGGTCTTCATGGCCTTGTTCAGCTTCTCACAGATCTTGTCCTCAATGCCGAAGTGTCGGCATATTTCCTTGACTCGAGAATCGATAGGGTCGGGTGGAGGTTGGACCCTCTCCTCCTCTTGCGGCTCCATCATGTTGTTCATCATCGCAGCCATGTTTATCATAGCCATAGGATTCATTGCCATCATTGGCATGCCCATCGGCATCCCCATGCCGCCCATGCCGCCGCCCATGCCGCCGCCCATACCACCCATGCCACCCATGCCGCCCATCATCGGCATGCCCATAGGCATTCCCATGCCATTCATTCCAGGATTCATTCCGCCCATGTTCATGGTGTTCATGCCCATGGGCATACCCATCATCGGCATTGTCATTCCTGGGTTTCCAGGGACCCCCGGAGAGCCGCCCGGTACACCCGGAGTGCCGCCGGGCACTGGGGCATCTCCTCCTGGAATCATGGCGTCGCAGGCCGTGCGGCGTCTCTGCAGGCCCGTCCAAGTTCTTGAGTCTCCTTCGTCTAAGCTATGCTTCGTTCTGCTCTCTGTTATGGTCTTGGGCCTGACGAGAAGCTAGAACCTGTGAGACCGTGTTGGGAATATGATCTGTCGGATCTTGTCATTTGTCAGGTGAGAGAGGCCTCTTAATTAAAGACTGCCGGATCTTGCATTGAATTTTGTTGGACCCTTTGGCTTGGCTTCCCATAGATCGCAACAGCGCAGACGACACTATGCACCCAAAGAATGGCATGAAATGGGAATGCAAGACCTTTGCCTGTAGGCGTTCAGTCATGGGATAGAGTATTTAACTAAGCGGACGTGTGCATACGTAAACCATCTCGAGCCTCAACTGCTGTCGTCGCCATATCGATGTCGCGCATGAATCGACGGCCGCCAACCCAACGGACTACAACTGCGACCGAACTTGCCGCTCTCCCAAGCACCTGTCCAGTACAGGCTGAAACCCGCAATATAACATCCACGTAAGCCCGATCAGGTGCCATAGTCTTCGGGCGCCCGTCTCTGAGCCTTGGGAGCTCTTTCGGTGGAAGCTTCCTCCTGGAGCTCATCCGTGGAAGGCGAACCTCGCTAGTACTCATGTTTACGGAGAAAGAATCAAAGAGCGACAGAGAGAGAGAGAGAGAGAAAAAAAAGAGAGAGAGAAAGACGGACGGACGGAGCGGGGCTCAAAGGACACGTCGGATTTCAATTTGCACTCATAAAAAAGGGTATCGCATTGGAATCCCATTAACATCCGATTATAATTCGGTTTCAACCAGTTTTCAATCGGCAAAGAATGAGAGTCCATTGGCTACTGGAACCCTATCACAGCTGCAGCATGGTACTGTAGCGTAACGGGATTTCAACCAGTCCCCAACAGGAATTTGAACGAACATTGAATTCCAACAAAACTGAGACAAATTTCAGTGAAGTTTCAACACAACCCTCTATGACCACACAATTATTTCAATCCTGCTCGCTGAGACTGAATAGATAAAAGGAATTTTAGCCGTATCAGCCATTACATGACAACACCCCTCCAAAAATGAAAGCAAGGCAGCAAGCCTTCCTTCTGCAGACAGTCACTCGAGGGCCGGTGTCTCGCATATGTGCTGAAACCGCAAGGAGATTCTCGGGAGCTCCTGGATACAAAGCCCAAAGCCTCACTTTCAAATGAACCTGAAGTAACCCGGCACGACGGTCTGACAGTAAGGCTGCTGCGCTCCAAGTCCAGCTCGGACCCCATGGTCTGGAAATGCACGTATGTTTCGGCACACGCTCTTGGACTCGTTTTCGCATGAGTTAGCGGGCTTGGGGCTTGCATTTTTGCATTGAGGTCCCGATCCGTGGACTTCAACTTATGGGCCTGGAGCTGTCCAAGCAACTAGAACAACTAGAACGAACATCAAGTCAGACTGTAAGTGCCACGTGCTGAATGCACGGCCTGCTGAAACTCACGCTGCCGTCAACATTCCGTACACTTGTGAATACCATTCCGAACTCCATGTCACCGCTCGGGCGAGTACGGCTAGTAACCATGGCAAGACTTCAAAAGTTATGATGGACAGAGGTCGCAGGGCCTTGTATAGCATCTGGTCAAGCTACAGAAGACCCCTCTAGATGCCAATGGGTCATTGCCACGACCATTTTCTGTAGCGACCGAAAACAAACTGGATCCGGATGATGTGGATCAGTCGTTGCAATGTAGACGTGAAAGCTCCCTCAAGCCTTTGATAAGTACTAATGTAGCCTGAATATCCATGGATCTTCGAGTTCCGAATTTATGGCTCTCTTCACGCCGAAGTCCGCACTAGGCAGCGTGAAACCCTAATTACATTCTTCAGCCAATTCAGCACAACGCTCACCATAGATCGCATCCAACACATGCCTTCATAACACACCACAATAGATTCCAACATATAGTGTAGTTATTCTAGTATTAAAAATTCTGATGTACCATAATTATTACAGTACTAAGTATTAGGTAAGATATATGCTCCGAGGCTCGTGCCAAGAGCCGTGGCGCGTCCTCCGCTGTCGTCTGGCTCCGTCTTGGTCCCGGGGAGTCGTCTGCATGGCTGCTCAGGTGCAGGGCTTAGGTCACAGGCTACGACAAGCGATCTCCAGCACTCCAGGATCACGCTTATCGGTTTTGCTGACTTAAAGAGCGCCTCGGTTCGGAATCTCCATCTAAAACCGAAGGCATTGAGTGGCACGTCGAGTTTCACAGTTGAGCAGAGCAACCCCCAAACACAACAGCAAAATTGACTCCGGTTCGGTCAACACGAACGACATCTTGATCTCGGAAGTTTGGCAAGTCTCGAGCAGCAACGAGGAACGGCCGATACTTAGCCATCACCGCTGTTATCTGACAATCGATACCTGCCTTCCTGAGAGATCTCCGTGAAAACCGTCGCAGCGCGCGACGGCCGCAAGCCTATGGGCAGTTCCAACAGAGTTTCTGCTTGTTGGATTATGCTTTCGAAGGGGCTAGCCAATATCAAATAAGAATAAAAAATCACTCCGAAAACTGAACTGCCCCAGCTTTTGAAAATCGAACGCAGGAGTCAGTGTGCTGGCGTCGCCCGCAGCATCATCATCATCATCGTCATCATCATCAGCATCATCATCCTCATCCTCATCCTCATCCTCATCCTCTTCTTCTTCTTCTTCCATCGCAGCCGGTGTCCATCCTCGTCCTCATCATCATCATCAGCAGCACCGGCAGCGGTAGTAGTGGTAGTCGTCGTAGTGCTAGTATTGCTTCGAATAGGTGGTTGACATCGGAATAAGCAGCTAGAAGGCTGCGCCATTCAGTGCAAAGCAAGTACGCCGGCAAACCCTGGTCTGAGCAGCATGCTGTTGTCTCGCTTCGCATCCTGCGCAGATAGGATGGCGAGCCGTAGCACAGCATGGACGATCCTCAATTATACTACTAGTATCAGGTTGACAAGGAAGCTTAAACAAGTTGAACAGTCATCACCTTTCAATATGACAAACGAACATACGCTGCCTCCCAGCCACAAGAAGCCTCTGACTGCCACGACAAGCAAACCCTCCACAGTGCAGCTCGTGCTTAGGGAACATAACCAAGCAGTCTGAGGAACGCCACTGGGAAACACGGAATGCCAGAAGGGCCACTCTGCGAACCAACGTTTCCGGAAGGCTTCACAACATCTACATATGAAGTGGAGAAATACATCGATGCTATCGTCCTGGGTGCGTACTGCGTGCATGTCCATGCGCATATATCATCTCTAACAGCTCTGTACCCTTGAGCTGTCTCTGCATGTGCTGCTCCTTCCGGGCTTGCGGGCTTCAGGCTGCTGTTCCTTACAAGTTCCCTCCGCTCCCCTCCCCTCCCCCTCCCTCAACATCACAAGCCCGTGCAGACTCCAACATGTGTGTTCATCACTCTGCAAGCCGTCAAGACGTGACTGTGCGTCCTTCAGTGCCTGCCGCAGGGCGGCGGAAAAAGCTGCTTGGCTCAGGACAATCTCCGCTTTAGCAGCCTGAGCGCAAGATGCCATGTTTCAATTTCTCTTTCATTTTAGCTGAAACTGCGTCGGGTTTCAGGGGTGGTATGCAAGGACGCCTCCGCAAAGTCATTCCAAGTACTTAAGAACATGACAGGCTTTACGTTAACCTTGGACAGACCAAATGCGCTACAACCACGATCATCATCAGTAGTGTCCATTGCAGACGCGATGGGCGACGCAATGGGAACTACTGCTGATGATCGTGGTTGTAGCACATTTGGTCTGTCCAAGGTTAATGTAAAACCTGTCATGCCCTTGAACTTGTAATGCCTTTGCGGAGGCGTTCTTGCACACCACCCCTGAAACCAGACGTGAGTTGGAATGTTTTAACTAGGGAAATGACAGCGTGGCAAGAAGCGCGCCAAACATGCGGGAACTGAGCTTGCCTATCCAAAAACCACATGGGAAGGCGAATCGCACGGATGAGTCTGAGACAGTCGGAGTGAATGTTTGGAACGAGTCCAGTGAAACAGAGTTTGTCGCCCCGATCTTGGCAAGCCAAAACACATCTACATTAACCCAGTACGATAGTCACGAGGTGGTCGCAACTTCGCGATCCAACGAAAACTCTGACAGCAAAGGGCTTTGCCTGCAATGAACGGACAGGAGAGTCTTTGATCTGAGATGCCTCTGCCTTACGCTGCCTTCCTCTTCCGCATGCAACTCGACACGAGTCTCTCTGACTGAGCTTGTCTCGTTCTTCCCAGGTTGCATGCCGCTTTCCACCCTCTCCCACTGGTCGATCCAAACATGTCTTCATCATCACCCCAAGAAATTCAAAATTCCACTCCTGTGCCATGTATCTTAGGCAGCTGAAGGCACAGTAGCGTAGAGTCTGAACCCCAACATGCAGTCTTCGGAATCGCAAGGTGCCCGACGACCATTACGCAGTCGGGCTGAGGCGGCCAGCGTAGGGCAGGCTCCAAGCCTGAGTTCTTCGACACTTCCGACAACTGCACACCAAGAACTCCAAGAACCACCACACATCATGCTGTCGATGCCGTTTGATGCTCCGCCATCTCGATTTGCTCTAACGAATCGAGCAAACAAGCGCGCTATGCAATCAGATTGCTTCCATCCTTGCCCGGCTGCGTGCAGTATGTCAGAACCATCTTCGCACTCGGACCGGTGAAGACGACTTGCTTTATGTCGGCACGTGCTTGAATCGTGCAAACCCGTCTGAATATCACAAACCGAGTTTGTTGTAAGATCAGTGCAGGCAAGAAGGTAGTTGGCAGGAGCAGGCGTCACCCACCTGAAGAGTCAAGAGTCCGAGCATCATCGGTTTGGCCTAGGGTTTCGCTTGAGGGTCCAGTGTCTTAGGCTCCTTTCGGCCTGCGGACTGCAGCGCCCCTGCGAGTTTTCCTACGATCATTTCGGCTTTGCATATGCAGCTTTCGTGCTGCAGCCCCTAGCCCTAAGTCAAAAGATCACCTAAGGTAGATTGACAAGAGGTAGTTTCTTGCCATTTTTCAGCACACAAAAAATACAAAAACATACAAATAAATATCATCAACATACCAGAAGATAATACCAACATGCGAACAGCAACAGGGAATATACAAACAAACACAGCCCATCAAGATATACTGCCGACACACATGCAAAAACACAGAAGCCAAGCATCCACAGCTCAAGCAAGATAAAAAAAAAAAACAACAGACACAAAACATACATCCAACACACCATAAAATACAAACGAATACAGGCAAAATACAAGAACATTCAAGCTAAATACACAAAAATAGTAGCAAAACACAAAAAATACAAGCAACATACCAAAAGATACATAAAACATACATAAAAATACAAAAAATACAAAAATAAAATACACAAAATACGAAAAATACGGATCTGGATGCAGCAATATGGCATTACAGAAAGAAATTACTATGTTTGGATACATACAATAGTCGTCTCCCCACGGCACATTCCAACAGCAGAACCCCCGGCAAGCAATGGCACGATATCGTATGTTTTCGAATGCCCATGGTAGTTGTTCGCATGTCCATGGTATTTTTTCGTATGTTTTCGTATGTTTTCGTACTTTTTGGTATGTTTTCGTGTTTTTTCGTATGTTTTCGTATTTTGGTCTATTTGGCCCCAAACCCCAAGAAACAACCTCTTGTAAATCTACCTTAGCCGCCTTAAAGACTAAGAGTCCTGACAATGAGGCAAGCCTGCAGAGTGGAACACTCCAATCCAGCTTAAAATGTGCGGCTTGAAGCCTCTGTCTCAAACCGCACAGAGCTACGAAACCTGAAATCCTAAATTAAAGCCCTGTGCCTATACCACCTTGCCAGCATAGGCTAAGGCGAGCGACAGGAGCTCCCAGTGTGGAACTCCCCAGGCATCGGCGTCCTGGAGAGGGTAATTGTGGTTTTGCTTTCGCCCTCGCCCGGCTAGGATGACACCCTGCAATTTGCACTGCGAGGTCTCAGAGCTTAGGCTTAGGCTGGGGCTTCGCGTCAGCTGTATGAACTGAATCAATGCTTGACAGCGACGATCTGTTGCTGTTGCTCAAGAACTCTGGAAAAGAGACGTTCTGACATGCGGAAAGATGCTGCAGGGCTGCGACTGTGCTTGATTTTAGCTCCAGTGGACAGCTGGAACACAGTAACACAGATTACAGATGCAATTATGATTCCGTCCAGTTCTTTCGAAACAAGTACCTGGATACCAATGCAGACACCGGCTACGCCCTACTTCCATTCTTGACTCCTGACCATTCACACAGAAGCCCTTCGCGAACTAACCTCGCCGAGCATTCCTGAATCCTGCGGGAGAGCTTAAGTTGGTGGGCACGCCCTTCCTGTACACCAGGGATCTTGCTGCTGTGTGACAGGTGGAAACGGAAAGATCATGAACGTCTGCCGGCTTTTTGCGGGGTCGAGAGATGAATGACGAGGAAGGAGCGGTGTTCAAGCTGGCACTATTGGAACCTACTCCTTCTAAGGCGACGACAAGTCGGTTGATCCCTCATTCATAGACTGGTGAACCCTCTGAACAGACCTCTTCCACAGGGAATATAGTACAATGTGTTACTCACGTGATCTCACAGGTTAAAGAGATGACCACGAAATCAGAACACGAGCTCCAACCCGTAGCCTTAGCCCCAGGAATACAAACCAGACCACGAGTGGATCCTGGACCCACTGGCTTATGGCATCCTGGAGGGCGCTCCTGGACAAGTCCCGACCACGGTTGGGATATGCTGGGGTTTTGTGAATTGCATCAGGTTCTGTCTCAAATCTGGAAACCAAGACTCAATCTTTCCCTGTGGGGATAACTTGACTTGACCGACCCATTTCCTTAGACTTGGAACAAGGAGCAGGGCCTAACAATGCACGATCTCTTGATATCCTGAGCCACGTGCACCAAATCTTTTTTTCTGCCGGGCATAGGGGTCCGAAGGACCCTCAGGCCATCGGCCCGCCCGACCACTCCTTGTGCTATTTGCACCAAATCTCTCTCTCTCTCTCTCTGCCGTGCCATCCTCGAGGGTCTCGCTAAGCATCACGAACAGCAATCGCAGTAGCATCACCGGTTCTAATGTTTGCTGGGGCAGCAACAGTGCGACAGTACCGCCACTGTTCATGCTAAACACGGAAGCAGCAGTGACGAAGACGATGATGCCGAAGCCGGAACTGTTGTCATCGTGTCAGTTCTTCATGATATCAGCACCGTCTCCCTGGGTCGTGTCGGCATTCTGACAATTAAATCATCGCTTCCATCATTGTCGCCCTAACCCTTTCCTAAACCCTAAAACCCTAAAACCCTGGGAAATCCTCAGGCTGTCAGAGCCGTGGCTGTCCGAGTTTGTGCGGATGCTGCGGCCTCACGGCGTTCCCCTCAAGGGAAGCTTCTGTTCGTCGGTCTGTTTTTGACTATGCTTCTCGTTGTGTGCTCAGCAGACCATCTTCTCTGCTGTCTGGTCAGGGAGTCTGCGGCTTAGGATGTGGCGCCAAGCCTCTCGGTCCGAAGGGGACATCAGTATTACCCAAGATCACCCTTAGAACTCAGCACGCCCCTGCGACTGCTCGAATGCACCAAGCTGGAACTCTGTGCTGCTGCACTGCGCATTCCCTTACAACAGAAACCGGGCATGTAGACATGCATTGTGAAGCAGAACCTTAAGACCGGATGTAAATGTAAATGTACATGTCTACACATTCAGACACCTCAGCCTCTATGCATAGCTGTATTTGCATGTACTGCATTTGAAATATGTACAGTTGCGGAACGCATAGAACAAGGACTGGGGCAAAATTAAGTACGCAACTACTATACTGCATTGCGTACGTACGCACGGAGGTCCTGCGGGTACTGGTGTCCAATGCCTCCAAGGCCCTTTACGCACGAAGATTTCATAATACCTGACGCCGGAAAGTACTGAAGAGTTGGATACGATGCAGTGAGTGTATACCAAGGGGTTTCAGAAAAAAACAGCTCAATGCGAGAAGACCCATGCCTATCCTCTGAAGAATGAAACCAAACTTCCCTCGAATCGACCAGCACACCAGCCTGAACTAAGGTTGAGACCATGTTGCCACGGCTCGCCGCTGAAGCTGCCGGCAGCTGCTTGAAAAGGAACCAGTAGCTCCTTTTGCAGACTGCAGCGTCTGACGTTTGATGCATGCTGGCATTGTTAGATACAGGAAAGCTCGGGTCAATAAGTTGGGGGTGTGAACTTGCCGTAGCCGTGCTAGCCTGAAGCAGAGTCAAGCATGCGACAAGTCGAGAGGTCAAGAGGTTTCTTCGTAAGGGCAAACCAATTGCAGGCTCAGTATAAGTAGAATGCAAAAGAAGTGCTACGCCCTTTGTTGGCTCTCCGAGAACCATGCGCCCCTGCGGTGTCCCGCGCCACTTCATCACAGTCCGTGAGGACTATCCTGAAACCTTCGGGGTGCGCGATGACCTGAATCAAGGTCTCGTTCCACTTTTCAAACCACCTAGCTAGCTGAGTCGCACTGCCGGGAACATACAAGACTAGATGACGGTGCAAATAAGACGGGTTTAGATTTAGATGTGGGGATTTCTCATGTATTGAGGTTGGTGGTAGCTCTAGCTTCCCGGATTTCAACCGGCACTAGAGCGCCCAAGGTCGCATGAAACATGCTGGGTTCTGCCGTGAAGTTCTGTCAAGACAGATCGAGTCATATTTCTCTCCGCTCGATGGATCTTGGAATCTTGCGCTTCAGATATAACTCATACTGGGGTCCTCATATCAACGTCTAGGACCAGCTAGGAATCCTTCAGGTACATCAGGGCCAACGGGGATGCAAGGACAGGGTTAAACCCACTTGGGACTTCTGATGTGCCTGAGAACCACAAGCACAATATCTCGCGTTCGAATGTCCCAACCTTTCCTGCCCTAATCGCTAAACCCTACAGAAACCAGGCCTTGCTCAAACGAGATATGTCCTGTTCATAGGTACAGGACAATGGCAAGATCAGCGCAGTTTAATTACAGGCTTCACCAACGAAACCGAGCTCCCCGAATTCTCTTATAAAGCTTCCCATGTAATTAACAGCAAACGTCAGTTTGGGGTGCTATATGACTGGCCCTAAATGCGCGTTGTGGGACCTATCGTATAGTCTAAACGAGCACTATAAGTTAAACAAGCTCCGAATATATCGGAGGATCACGCCGAGGCCGTGGCGCCAACCCGGCAGGTGATCCCAACGGTGGCCGCCGCCACGTAGAGGGGCGTTTTTCGCAACACCTGCAGAAGCAAAAAACCTTGTCGCGTAACACGCAAGGATCTCCATACTGCAAACCTGACATGTTCTGAAATCATTCGATCCCCTTGAGGGTCTATTGCTGTTCTTGCTATTGTAAGGTAAATATTGATATGGTTACCATTACGGTTATTCCTACTTGATTTTAGTATTAGCCTGAATCTTAACATTGCTGTTAGTATGTATTCTGTATGAGTATTAGCATTAGTATCAGCGCTAGCATCAGTTTTAGTAATCGTATTAGTGTTGCTATGTTTTCCATTGGGTCGAAATCAAGCATGTTTGATCTCCAGGCCGGCCTCGGGCAGCGGCGGATCTATCCTTGGCACATGGGAACTCGGCACCGGAACATGTAACATTAGGGCCTCTGGGGTCTTCAAGCTCCAAAACCCTCTACACGTCAAGCCCGGGTCAGCTGAGAAACCGCCCCAAGTTGTTCGAATATGTTCGGATCCAGTATCACGTGTAAGGTTATCGGGTGTAGGGATAGAGCTGAGGGGATTAACATAGCAAGTTTAGTGTCTGGACAAGGATGCTATAGGATTTAACAGCTACTCTTCGAAGTGCTGAATACCTGGAGATTCAGATTCGTGCCTCCATGGTCTTTCAACAGAATGCCGGATCTCGCAGTGTCCGGTCTTATAAGAGATCACCTATAGCCTACAATCTATAATCCACAGAATGCAATATTTACACCGCTTCTTGGCAGGAAGTTCTCTCACGCACTCGCAGTGACTTTGAAGTTCGTTCCCTGAGAAGTGCTGCAAGTTCGTGTGGATTCGATTGCTGAGGATTCAAGCCTCTGAGAGCTTGTGACCTTGTGGAGGCCTCATGTGAAGGTCCCATGGCACAGTCCTCCGGTCGTCACTCTACGGCCAGTTTTCGAACAAAGAAGGTTCAAACAAGCATGTCCCAGGCCCAAAACCCTCTGAGCTCCTTGCTCGTTTCGGCAATGCCGATGCAGTGTCGTCGCAGGCAGGCAGGGCTGCTTGTAGCGGACATGCCTGCAAACACTTAAGGGCTGAAACTCTCAAGGTTTCCAGGCATCACAGTCTCGCAACGAGGAACCATGTGATGGTTCTGATTTCCTTCCTTGCCGGACGTCGCCATGACATGGAGAGTGTTTATAATGATAACAAATTACTAGATTACTAGAAGGTCTGTCGAGATGAGCGGTTCTTCTGTCGACAATTCATCGCTGCTGGCTTCGAGCTGGACCGCTCTGATGTTTCTGACCATTGCTACATGCAGGATCCTTCATACGCGTGACACTGACACGCAACACTGAGACCTCGAAGGAACCCCCCAAAACTCTGCCATCATACGGCATGTCTGTCACGGAGGCAACTCGGAAAAAAAAATAAAAACCATGCTTGCTCTGCTCGTGGTAGCTGGTAGCTCTTGATCTGGCGTGCAGGTTCTCGTTGGCAAGTGATCCAAGATCAGCCACAAATAACAACCGACACACACACACACAACCAAACTCCCAGACACGCTCGTCATCGCAACATAACGATTCATCACTCTTGATCCGGCCGGTTCCAGACACATAAAACACAATACCAACCAAATGCATCCTGAAGTCAATAAAGCCAGACATCTGGCTTAGATGGCGGACCCTCGCGGAACCAGGAGCTCAAACTCTGCCAGCGTCAAGCCGGCCATGAAGGGCATGTCCGTTGGGGTCTCAGCTTCAGATGTCTGTTCTGAGAGAATCCAAAAGCCCACCCTTTAAGAACGGGTTCTTGCTTGTTCAGGGTCCTTACAATAATTTGGAGACTATTCCTGTGACGGAGTTGCCGCTGCAAGCCCGGTCTTGAGGGCTCCGAAGAACTGGGCATCCAACAACTTCTTGCTCTCTGCGTCTTGCGGTGGAGTTGCGGGGTGGGGGTTCTGAACTCTGCTCTTTGGAGTCCCGATTGCGGTCTCAAGATGCTGAAAGGAGGCCCTCGTTTTGGAAAAGCCTGTTCTTAAGCACTTTGCGAGCCTCGGCCGGAAGCAAGAAGCCGTGCAAGGAGTCCCATTCGTCTTCATGGGGTCTCAAAGGTTTCGGGTTCAGGTCGATAGTGCCCAGGGTGGTTTTTTCTTGCCTCGGTACACTTTTCAAGTTTTAAATGCAAACTTCAGGGTTCGAGCTTCAAGATCTTGCCACGGATTCTCGAGACTATGTCGACTAGGCACGTACTGGATCTTCTCTGACACGATGCTCGCGGCAGAGTTCACCCACCTCGCAAAAACCAACAAACAAGATGGCTTCAGGACATTCAGGATCCTTGAAAATCTACCCAAATCGGATCCTGGAATCCATGACTAACAGGCCCCCAATCAAGGTGCTGTACCCCAGTTTTGTGACACTCCCACTTCCGGTTAAGACCCTCAGCACCAAACCGTAAGGAGGTGGAGTTCGTCTGCGGCTTGGAAAATAGCAAAGAACCCCATGGCACTAAGGAGTAGTATTGGTAGTTAAACACCGCAAGGCCTTGAAGATCCACACGGTGAAGCAACATCTAGTCTGATCTCAGACAAGTCATAATCAACTATGATGTTGTTGTAACAGCACTGGGGACAATAATGTTACATAGCACAACTACATGGATACGGATAAACCGGCAAATATTAGCATACGAATATTCATCATAAGCACACTACTACTCATGATACTAGACGGCTTAAATACATACATGCAGCCTTTTTGCATTGTTTCTTTCATTGCGATTTTTCATTGCAGCTGCTACTACTACTGCCACTACTACTGCTACGTTCCTGCTACTGCTACTGCTACTGCTACTGCTACTGCTACTGCTACTGCTACTGCTACTGCTACTGCTACTACTACCACCACCACCACTACCACTACCACTGGCATTCTACAACTCCCCCGCCTCATGGCCGGCATTTGATGGCTGCGCCCTGGCAGCTGCAGCCAGACCGGATCAACGCTGGCATCCTCGACCTGCTGGCAATCTCAAAGCAGGAGCATATTTGCGGCATTTAGGGTTTAGGATTTAGCGTTTAGGGTTTCGGGGTGTAGGATTTTGTTGGGGTTTAGAGTTCAGGGTTCAGGGTGTCCGGGTTTGCGGATTTGAAGTTTGTAGGGTCTTGAAGTATGGAGCTTTAGCCCTTAGCTCGGATACTTCAGGAGCGAATTACAAGAAAATCGGTCTTTGGAATCAAAAATATTTGGCGGCAGCAACACGGGATTCCGTCCTCTGAGTCTCCTCAATCAGGGATGGGCTCCTGTGACTCTGCAACCATACGGGAGCCCCCCCCCCCCCAAGGCCTGTAGCCCAACACATTTTTTCGATTGACCCGTTGAGCATGCAATCCAAGTCTCGCTACACATGCGGCCGGTACTCAGCGATGTCACAGTAATCTGAAGCGCTTGGCCCGGCTAAGAATCTCAAGAGAAGCCCTCCATTCAGAAACTCCAAAAGCCATTCTGAGCTCAGCACGACGAGGGAACAGGCATGAAGCAACCTTTTACTGCAGGCAAGAAAGCAGTTACCCTTTCCTGCGACCGCGCAGCGCCAGCACCACGACGACGACTACTACATCTGCTACTGCAGCTGCTGCAACCCTTCCTCCTCCTACAACTGCGGCTGTCGCTGCTGCTACTGCTACGTACTATATAAGTACTCCGCACCACGTACTGCTGCTACGACAACGGCGATAGCGAGGACCACAACAACAGTACAACCACAACTACTACAACAACAGCAGCAACAGCAACAACCACCACAACCAACACTAACACCAGCATCAGCACCAGCAGCAGCAGCAGCAGCAGCAGCAGCACCGGAAACGGAGCAGAATCCAGTGCCATGCAAAGGTCTTGGAAGCGGCACGCGGCATTGCCGCAGAAACAAACTGCCGACAGGTCCACAGGAAGGAAAGGAAGGATTCATGAAGTGCTCCGGTCTGGCCTCTGGGGGAAAAGGCTGCAAAGCACACATGCAGAGAGCTACGGCTGAGACAGGGGTGCACACGGTTACACAATGATCTTGAGATCCTGACCATGAAGAAAGACAAGACAAGGTTCTGCAACAGTGAGGTCGTGATTGTGCTGAAGGGGGCCCGGAGTCGAGGAAACAAACGGAGCACAAGGGAAATACGAAGCCTTCAGAACCGGAATACCTCAAGGTCAACATGGAAGCTTGATGAAGCTTGTATATCCACTGACCGAGTAAAAGATGCCGTTATTAGCCCCCCCCCACTCCACCCCTGGCCTAAATACTAGTGGCACCTGAGGAACCCTCCATGTACCCCACTCGCCGTCCCGAACGAATCATACCTTTCGGGGCGGCAAGTGGCGGACATGGCAGCAACAGCAGCAGCAACCACAACAACAACTACCAACCAACCAACCAACCAACCACAACCACAACCCCACCCACGCCCATAACATTATTCAACCACACCACCAACACCACCAATACCATCAACACCACCACCACCACCACCACCACCACCACCAACAACAACAACAACAGAAACAACAACAGCAGCAGCAGCAGCAGCAGTAGCACCACCAACACCACAATCACCACCAACAAAAGAACCAACTCCAACACCACCAACAACAACCTCAACAACAACCAAAACCAAAACTACTGGTGGTGGCGGTGGTGGTGGTAGTAGTCGTAGTA